TCTTGCACTGGCCGAAGTGCTCGCGCTCATCTAGCGGCAGGGAGTTGCGAATAGCAAAGCGAGCGTGCGCGTCACGGGTCTGCCACTGTGAGCGCTCAGCTGGGGGGGCAGTAGCGAGTGGGGCGGTCGCATGGCCGAGAGCGTGGTCGTACAGTGTAATATCTTCCTTGGCAGTGAGCTGTAGGAAAAGGTGCAGGTCATCTAGCCAGGTTTCGAATTTGACCGGACGGCCCTCGGCGTCGAAAGCTAGAACAGGAGGACTAGCCATAGCGACAGCGGCAGTAGTAGAAGCAGTAAAGTCACTGAAAAGGCGTGCGCAGGGTCAGCGGGGCCGGTGGGGCCTACGGACTGTAGTGGCGCACAAGCAGTAGTAGCAGAAAGTGTAGTAGTAGGAATGCAGTGGTGCACAGGCGCAGCAGGCGGCAGCGAGAGCCGGCGTAGTAGGGGCGGGCTCAGCAGCGGTGATTCGCGGGCGACGGCGGGCGCAGCAGCGGCGGTGCGCGGGCGGCGGCGGGCTCAGCAGCGGTGGTGCGCGGGCGGCAGCGGGCGCAGCAGCGGCGGTGCGCGGGCGGCGGCGGGCTCAGCAGAGGCGGTGCGCGGGCGGCTGCGGGCTCAGCAGCGGTGGTGCGCGGGCGGCAGCGGGCGCAGCAGCGGCGGTGCGCGGGCGGCTGCGGGCTCAGCAGAGGCGGTGCGCGGGCGGCTGCGGGCTCGGCAGCGGCGGGCCGGGAGCAGTGCGGGCAGCGTGCGGGCCGGCGGCGGTCAGCGCACGAGCCGCGCAGGCTCAGCGCGGGCTGCGCGGGCTGCTCGCGGGCTGCGTAAGCGGGTCGCGGGCGGCTCGCGGGGGTTCGCGGGCAGGTCGCGGGCTGCTCGCGGGCAGTTCGCGGGCTGTGCGCGGGCTGCGCGGGCTGGTCGCGGGCTGCGCAGGCGGTTCGCGGGCTGCGCGTGGGCGGTTCGCGGGCTGTGAGCGCGGCGCGCTGTGCGGTTCGCGGGCGGCGTGACGGGGCCGATCGGGGCGCTAAGGGGCGACGCGACGGGGGCCGTGAGAGGCCGCTAAAAAAAAAAATTCGAAGGGGCCGCAGGGCCGCTAGATCGTGCTAGATCGACGGGGCCATCGGGGCCGAAAAGAAGCGAAGGTAAGCAGGTAGGTAAGTCGGTGGGCCCTAAGAACAGTCCTAGCGAAGGACCTGCTCTGAAACCATGTCAGAAATAACTGAGCAGGAATGAATGAACTAGAACAGAGTTTGGTACAAGTAGGAAACCCTAACTTTGTGTACCCTCTAAGGTGTAACCCACTACAGCCTAGACAATATAAACATGCAACGTTTTGACATTGAAGACTGGGGGAGATCCCGGCGGCCGCTTCACCTTGAAGATCCACATGCCGTCAACTATGTTCGCCCCTGGGGGGGGAACCTCGTCAACGTAAGTGCCTGTGGACCTGTAGGAGGCCATCTCTGCGTCCATGGCAGCTCTCCACTGAGAGGCCCAAGGCCCTGACACTGCCTCAGCGTAAGTGCAAGGAGTAGGTATGTCAGGAGTGTCGGGGTCTCCCTCAGGAGCGAGCAGCATGGCACAGAGATGAGGCGAAGCAGCTGCCAGGAACTCTAGCTCAAACTGTCTGTCCTCTAAAACGTCACAGCCAAGGGCAGACTCACCCCCGGCGGACAGAGGACGGACAGGAGGAGCGGCCACAACACGAGTGGCGTAGTCAAGGCGACGCGTAGCAGTAAAGTCAGTGACAGCGGCAGTGAGGACCGCGACGGAGGAAGGAGAGGCACGAGGGTCGGTAACAAGAGAGGCGAGAACACGAGAGAGAGTGGGACGGTAAGTGCGGTAGTAGTCAGTGACCGGAGTGGACAGGGAGGCAGTGAGAGACGACTCAGGAGGGCGAGGAAGGACAGACGGAGGAGAACGAGGAGGACTAGGACGGAACAACACAGTACGGAGGTCAGTGACAGGTGACGAAGGACGAGCACGAGGAGGACGAGAGGCCCAAGTGTGGGCGAGAGGAGAGGGAGACGGAGGAGACTGAGGACGAGGGAACACAGCCGGAGCGGAGTCCGGAGGAGGAAACGTAGGACCGAACACAGGAGGAGAGGAGGGGAGACCAAGGGCCCGAAGGCCAGAAACAGGGGCCGGAGGCTGCTCCGGCTGCTGCTGCGGCGGCGGCGGCAGTGGCGGCAGCTGCTGCTGCTGCTGCCGCTGCTGCTGCTGCTGCTGCTGCTCCCGCTGCAACTCCAACCGCTCACGCTCCACCCGCCGCTGAACCTCCAACCTCTCATGCTCCCAAACGCTGCTGCTCCTCACGCTCAACACGAAGAAGGGCCTGGTAACGAGTAGGGTAGGGGTGAGGAGGAGGAGTGGTGTCAGGAGACGAAGAAGAAGAACCAGCTCCGCCCTCGACAGTACCCGGCTGAGCACCCCCAGAGCGAGTACCCCCTGCGACAGCACGACCAGCACCTGTAGGAGGTGTACCCGCACCCCCAGTCGTGGTGCCTCCAGTGGCACCAGCACCAGTCCCAGACCCTCCAGCTCCAGGAACACCACTAGCTCCAGCACCACCACGAGCTCCAGTACCCTCGGAACGGGCAGCTGCGGCAGGTGCACGCTCAGCGCCAACGCCAACACCCCCAGAACGGGCGGTTGTTGTAGGTGCACGAACAGCTCCAACGCCAGCACCCCCAGAGCGAGCACCGCCAGAGCCCTCACCTCGAGCACCAACACCCTCAGAGTCCGCAGTGGCCGGTAAAGGAAGCGCTGACGGCTGCTGCGGAGGCTGTGAGGACGACTGTGGGGAAGGAGGAGAGACCTGGGGGGGTACCGAGGGGGAGGGGGGGGTGGTAGCGTGGGACAAACCAGTCGGAGCGGGAACGGGGGGGGGGGGGGGGGGGGGGGGTACCGGAGGAGCAGGGGCGGGAGGAGGAGGAGCTGGAGCCAGGAAGAGGGGAGGGGGTGTCAAACATATAGGGTCGCTCAGAGTAGAGGGTCTCTCAGTTCTGTTCGCTGCTCTTACGTCATTCGCACTGGTGCTCGGACTGGTCAGCCTTGCGGGACACCTAGTCACACGCAGTCCCGCTGCTTCGCCCGTCTGAGCGACGCCTGGCGTACCGAGTTTGGCGACGGGGCTGAGCTCCCCGACTGGGTGGAGCTACTTAGGCAGAGAGTAGATATATTTGCTCTTGACTATGATGCTATTCTCACTGCCATGTATGCATTGCCTACTAGTGTTGACCGTGCCTGTTACCTGTGTGTGCCGCCTGACCCAGGTATAGCGCCTGCTGCTCTAGGTACTGGTGAGGCTGCTGCTCTAGGTGCTACTGCGTCTCCTGCTCTAGGTGCTGGTGAGGCTGCTGCTCTCGGTGCTACTGCGTCTTCTGCTCTAGGTGCTGGTGAGGCTGCTGCTCCAGGTCCTGGTGAGTCTGCCCTCTCTGGTTCTTCGCCTGCTGCGACCCTGCACACCTTCACCCTTGACTCAGGAGCTTCCCGCTCCTTCTTTCGCGACTGCACCACACTTACGCCGCTTAGTCGGCCGGTTGCAGTCTCCCTGGCAGACCCCTCTGGGGGTCCAGTCCTTGCCCACTACTCCACGGTTCTGCCGTGTCCGGCCGCCCCGTCTGGCTTGCTGTCAGGTCTCTACCTCCCCTCGTTCTCTACGAACCTGGTGAGTGGAGCTGACCTCCAGGATGGGGGGGTTGACCAGTTCACTCCTGCGCGTCAGCGGGTGACTCACTGTACGTGTGCTCGGACGGGCCGACACCTGGCCACTTTCACCCGTGAGCCTGGCTCGAGCCTGTACACCCTGACCACTGAGTCCCCTCAGGTAGCTGCGTCTGCGTCTGCGTCAGGTCAGCTGTCGGCCCCCTGCTTGTGTCGCGCCTTGTCGCACGAGACCCTCCTTTGGCACCACCGCCTTGGTCACCCCTCGGTGCAGCGCCTTCGCAGCATGCACCGTCGTGTCCTTGTCTCTGGTCTTCCCAGGGTTCTCCCTCCCCTCCCACCCTCGCCTGCTCCTCCCTGTCTTCCCTGTGTCGAGGGGCGGCAGCGCGCCGCTCCTCACTCCTCCTCGTTCCCTCCCACAGAGGCTCCCTTGCAGACTCTCCACTTGGACGTGTGGGGCCCAGCCCGCGTCCGTGGACAGGACCACGAGCGGTACTTCCTGCTGGTCGTCGACGACTACACGCGTTACACCACGGTCTTCCTCTTGCGCACCAAGGGTGAGGTCCCTGCTGTTTTGATCCCCTGGATCCGCGCTGCTCGTCTCCAGCTCCGCCGGCGGTTCGGGACAGAGTTTCCCGTCCTGCGTCTGCACTCTGACAGAGGTGGTGAGTTTTCCTCCGACCTCTTGGCGGCCTACTGTGCGGAGCACGGCATCACCCAGTCGTTCACGCTTCCGGCCTCTCCGCAGCAGAATGGGGTTGCTGAGCGCCGCATTGGCTTGGTCATGGAGGTCGCTCGTACCTCCATGGTCCATGCGGCTGCCCCCCATTTTCTGTGGCCGTTTGCGGTCCGGTACGCCGCGCATCAGCTCAACCTCTGGCCCCGTGTCTCCTTGCCGGAGACCTCGCCCACACTGCTGTGGACGGGGGAGGTTGGCGATGCGTCGCGTTTCCGGGTCTGGGGTTCTCGTGCCTTTGTCCGCGATACCACCGCGGACAAGCTCTCCGCCCGTGCTGTTCCCTGTGTCTTCCTTGGCTTTGTCCCTGACGCGCCTGGTTGGCAGTTTTACCACCCCACCTCGCGCCGTGTCTTTGCGTCTCAGGACGTCACGTTCGACGAGTCGGTTCCCTTTTACCGTCTCTTCCCCTACCGCACTGCCCCGCTCCCCCCCCCGCCGCTCTTCCTCGCTCCAGGTGCTACCCAGGTAGACCCCCTCCCCGCTCCCGGTCCTGCTCCTTCAGGTGTGTCTCAGGTAGACCCTCCTCCTTTGCCTCCGCCGGTTGAGGTCACTGGTGACTCAGGTCCTGCTTGGGGTGCTGCTTCTGGGGGTGCTGAGCCTGGGGATGCTTAGCCTGGGGGTGCAGAGCCTGGGGGTGCGGAGCCTGGGGGTGCGGAGCCTGGGGGTGCGGAGCCTGGGTGTGCAGAGTCTGGAGGTGCTGAGCCTGGAGGTTCTGAGTCTGGGAGAGCTGCGCCTGGGGGCACTGTGGGGTCTGGTGAGCGGTCTTCCTGGAGCGGCCGTCTCCGCAGTCGCTCCGCTGGTGCTTCGCCGCTGCACCCTAGTCGTCGACCCCCTCTCTCCCCACAGCAGCTGCGTGAGTGGTACGCTGCTCGTCAGCGTCGCGCTGCTGGAGCTAGGGGCCCTACTGCGGGAGGCGCTGGCGCTGGTGCCTCTACTACTGGAGTCGTTTCTACTGGAGGTTCTGGAGCTTCCGAGGGTGCTGGCGCTGGAGGTTCTGGAGCTGGTGCTGGTGCTGGAGGTTCTGGAGCTGGTGCTGGTGCTGGAGCTGCTGCGGGTGCTGGCGCTGAGGGTTCTGAGTCTGCTGCTGTGCGGTCTCCGTGGAGTGGCCGCCTTCGTCCGCGTGTGCCTCTCACCTCACAGCAGCTGCACGACTGGTACGGTCGCCGTCCGGGTCGAGCTGCTGGAGCCCGGGGCTCTGCTGCTGGAGGTACTTCTGCTGACGTCCCTGGAGCTGGGCGTGGTGCTGGTCCTTTGTCTACTGGAGGTGCTGGAGTCGCTGGTCCCGGAGGTGCTCGTACTGGAGGTACTGGAGCTGCTGGGGCTGGAGGTGCTGGTTCTGGGGGTGCTGCTGCTGGAGACGTGGAGGCTGGAGACCCTGGGACTGGAGGTGCTGGTTCTGGGGGTGCTGCTGCTGGAGGCACTGAGGTTGGAGACCCTGGGCCTGGAGGTGTCGGTTCTGGGGCTGGAGCTTCTGGAGCTGCTGGAGGTGCTGGAGCTGCTGGAGGTACTGGAGCTGCTGGAGCTGCCGGTACTGGTGCAGCTGCGCCGACACGACTGTTCTTCGCTCCGCCGTCTCCGTCGTCTCTGCCGCCGCCTGACTCTGTTCTTCGTCAGGTTCTTACTCTCCCGTCGTCTACTGGTCTTCCGTTACTGCCCGGATCCACCCGGGTCGGGTTGGGGTCCGGACCATCTCGGGTGGGGACCGGATCCACCCGGGTCGGGTTGGGGTCCGGACCATCCCGGGAGGGAACCTGATCCACCCGGTTCGGGTGGGGGTCCGGACCATCCCGGGTGGGAACCGGATCCCCACCCGGGTCGGGTAGGGGTCCGGACCATCCCGGGTAGGAACCGGATCCACCCGGGTCGGGTGGGGGTCTGGACCATCCCGGGTAGGAACCGGATCCACCCGGGTCGGGTGGGGGTCCGGACCATCCCGGTTGAGAACCGCCGGGTGGGGGTCCGGACCATCTCGGGTGGGAACCGGATCCACCCAGGCCGGGTGGGGGTCCGGACCATCCCGAGAGGAGCCGGTTGATGTGATTGACAACCTGCCATAAAACCAGGGCCAATCACTCCGATTACGTTGGGTTACCGTCATTCGGGGCAACCGAAAGAACCCTATTAGGATCCGGATCCACCCGGGTCGGGTTGGGGTCCGGACCATCTCGGGTGGGGACCGGATCCACCCGGGTCGGGTTGGGGTCCGGACCATCCCGGGAGGGAACCTGATCCACCCGGTTCGGGTGGGGGTCCGGACCATCCCGGGTGGGAACCGGATCCACTGCCTGCTCCTTCTCCTTACACTGAGCAGACAGGTAGTCTTGCTGAGCGTCGTGAGCCTGCGTCGCGTCCTGTCTCGCCTGTTCGTCCTAGTCGTACCGGTCGTCGTGTTCCTCGTCCGCGTCAGCCGGCTGTCCCCGGCACACGCCTTGTAGCCCTGCGTCGGTCCCCTACTCCGGAGCGTACTCCTCTTCCGTCCTCCCCTGCGTCCTCTTTGCCTGACGTCGCGGACCCTGAGTCTGACCGGTTTCGTGCTGAGCACCCTACTGTCACGCGTCTGCTAGCCACTGTTGTCACTGACCCGTCGTTTGAGTCTGCTGCTGCGTCTGCCCTGGTCGCTGAGCTTGTTGACTTTGCTGATGCCTGTCGTCTAGACTACGCTGCTAGTCTTGTTGCTGAGTCTGAGTCTGTCTGTCCTCCGTCCGTCGGGGGTGAGTGTGCTCTTGGCACGGACGTCCTAGAGGACAGGCAGGAGGACCTTGCGTTTCTTGCGGCTGCTGCGCCTCATCTCGTGGCCATGCTTCTTGCTTCTGAGGGAGACCCGGATGCTATAGACATCCCCACACCGCGCTCTTACGCTGAGGCGATCGCGGGTCCTTACTCCTCTCAGTGGCAGGCAGCCATGGACGCAGAGATGGCATCCTGGAAGTCCACAGGCACTTACGTCGATGAGGTTCCCCCTCCAGGGGCGAACATCGTCGATGGCATGTGGATTTTCAGGGTGAAGCGGCCGCCAGGTTCTCCGCCTGTCTTCAAGGCGCGTTACGTTGCTAGAGGCTTCAGTCAGCGAGAGGGAGTTGACTTTTTCCAGACCTTCTCCCCTACCCCGAAGATGACCACACTTCGGGTGCTGCTGCACATTGCCGCTCAGCGTGACTACGAGCTTCACTCACTGGACTTCAGCACATCCTTCTTACAGGGCAGCCTGCACGAGGAGATCTGGCTGCGCCGCCCACCTGGCTTCACTGGGTCGTTCCCTCCTGGTACCCAGTGGAGCCTCCGCCGGCCAGTCTACGGTCTCCGCCAGGCACCCCGTGAGTGGCACGACACACTGAGGACTACCCTTGCGGCTCTTGGGTTTGCGCCTTCGACTGCTGACCCTTCACTGTTTCTGCGCACCGACACTTCGCTGCCGCCGTTCTATATCCTCGTGTACGTCGACGACCTGGTCTTTGCTACTGCTGACACTGAGGCCCTCGCCCTGGTGAAGTCCGAGCTGCAGAAGAGACACACGTGCACAGACCTGGGTGAGCTGCGCAGCTACCTTGGCTTGCAGATCACCCGGGACCGAGCACGGCGCACCATCACACTGACTCAGTCACACATGGTGCAGCAGGTCCTTCAGCGCTTCGGCTTCATCTGGTCCTCAGCACAGGCCACTCCTCTGGCTATAGGTCACTCGCTCTCAGCTCTGCCTTCGGATGAGTCCGTAGAGCCGAGTGGTCCTTACCCAGAGCTAGTGGGCTGCCTCATGTACCTGATAACTTGCACTCGTCCTGACCTTGCGTACCCTCTTGGCCTTCTGGCTCGCTACGTGGCTCCTGGTCGGCACCGAAAGGTGCACTGGGATGCTGCGAAGAGGGTACTGCGCTACTTGTGCAGTACATCGGGCATGGGGCTCGTGCTTGGAGGACGGCGAGAGGTGGTCCTCACTGGGCACTCAGATGCTTCTTGGGTTGACGACCAGGCTACGCAGCGGTCGTCACAGGGTTACACTTTCAGCCTTGGCTCTGGTTCTGTTTCTTGGCGTTCTACTCGCTCGTCTTCTGTTCTCAGCTCTAGTTGTGAGGCTGAGATCTACGCCACCGCCATGGCTGCTCAGGAGTTACGCTGGCTCACCTACCTGCTGACCGACCTGGGTGTCAGAGGTCCACTGGAGATCCCCGATGATCCTAGGGAAGGGTTACAGGCACATCGGCCTGGGGGGTTATGGGCGCACTTACCCGCCATACAAACAAGCCCTTTTATCCCAGTGGTTAGTGGCTGGGATTCTGACATGGTATCAGAGCAAAGGTCTCGGGTTCGAATCCCGGTGTGTGCACCTCGGGCATCCCAGTGCGGGGGGGTGTCAGAGGTCCACTGGAGATCCCCGATGATCCTAGGGAAGGGTTACAGGCACATCGGCCTGGGGGGTTATGGGCGCACTTACCCGCCATACAAACAAGCCCTTTTATCCCAGTGGTTAGTGGCTGGGATTCTGACGCTGGGTGAGCGGCCTCGTTCTCCTCCAGTGCTGTACGTCGACAACAAGGCTGCCATTGCCTTGTGTGAGGAGCACAGACTGGAGCACAGAACGAAGCACATTGCTCTGCGGTACTTTCTGGCTCGAGAGTTGCAGCAGCGTGGTCAGCTTCGTCTTGCACACGTGGCCACTCGGGCCAACACTGCTGATATATTCACCAAGGCACTTCCGTCTGGTGATCATCAGCGCTTTTGTACTTTGTTAGGCCTTGTGCCTACATTTCCACACTTGCTGTAGTCTTTTGTGTGTACTGTGCTCTATATTTATACCTGCATGCTTGCTCTTGCTAGGTATTGATCACTGTACTGCTCTTGTTGTTTATAAATATCTCTGCATGTAGACTGGCCTTGCGGCCCTTTGCTTGTGCTCAGAATGTGTGGTGACGTTGAGATCCACCCTGAGCTTGCTTTGCTTCTCTTGACTGGTCGTGTGACCCCTTGTTCTCCCCCACTTTGCCTATGGGGGTGTGTCAAACATATATGCAGCATATTATCTAAGCTGTAGTGGGGTCAAACATATATGCAGCATATTATTAGGGTTTACTATTTGTACTCATGCGTGCTGTTAGTTCATCATTCCTGCCTGTGATTCTAACAGGGGGGGGAACCGGGAGACCTCGACAGGGGTACCGGACGTAGTAGGGGACGGACTCGTCGAAACGGACGTCACGAGAGTCAAAGAACCGGTGGGAGGGAGGGTGGTAAAAGGTGAAGTCAGAGGAGTCCTCTGGGAAACCAAGGAAGACACTGAGGACGGCGCGAGGTGATATCTTGTCCGCAGAGGTGTCGCGGACAAGAGCCAAGCAGCCCCAGACACTAAACCTCGACGCTACACCAGGGGACCCTGTCCAAAGACTGGTCGGTGAAGCCTCTGGCCGAGAGACACGAGGCCAGAGGTTTAGCTAGTGAGCGGCGTACCGAGCCGCGTAGGGCCACAGAAAATGGAGCGCCGCTTAGGCCTGATCAATCCCCACTCAAGCGAACCTTCCCAAGGTGATCCTAGGGTCGATCCCCTTCTGATCGTAACAGTTCTTTTCCTTTTTTTTTTTCAAATATATCAGTTTGACTGAAAGTCGAAGTAGACATTCTGGAATACCATTCCAGCAAGCAAGCATACATACTCGTATTCCCGATTCTACTACCGTGTCACCCCGGAAAGCGCAGGTGCGCTTATAATAAATCAGTGTTTTTTAGGGGGGTGTGCTTCTAATTGAGCCAATTTTATAAGCGCATGCGCTTATATAATGACATATACAAATTTATAAGTTTTAAGACATCAAATTGCATATTTTACTCTTGCCATTTCAACCGAGTCGAAACATTTTGCGTCACAAAACAGAATCGCGTGCAAGCGATTCTCTTCCAGCACACAGTGGCCAAGATGCGACACTTCGCAGTCATGCCAGCACGTCCTGACTGGACGCGCAGCCAGACAGGTCTTAGAGAGTCAAGCTAAGCGAAAATGAGATTGCATTCTCTTCAAAAATGAAACTCGCTACCGTTTAGAACAGAAAATTTATTATAAAATTGTACATGCGCTTATAAAAAGTTTTCAAGGAGGGTGCGTTTATAATTGAGGATCGGCCATAAGCGCATTGCTCCAGATAGAAGCGCATGCGCTTATCATAGGCCTGCACTTTTAACCACACACACTAAATGACAGCCAACCGCCAACCAAATTGGTTGGTCTTCTCCGAGAAACCGCATGCAGTTGCTGGCACCTCTGCTCCATCAGCCCCTATCCATCTCATACGGTATCCCTCAGGCGCTGCCAGCTTGCGCTCCTTGCCCTCTGACCATCCAACTAGTGTTGCCCATTCTTCGCTTGTCCACCGGCCCCTGCATAAATAGTTCATGGTTGCAACGGGACGGGGCAAGTAGAGGGCAGGCCACAGGAAGATGTGAGATGAGACAGAAACATGCTCCGCCAGTGCAGAGCCCGCCAGTGCAGAGCCCGCTCCTCTTCATGCAGCCGGCGTCACAATGGCAATTACACGACAAGTCACCATATATATACACAAAAATCTCGATTCTTTCTTGTTGGCAGCAAACAAGGCACTTACGAGGAGGAGGAACCTGGCAGAGCTTCTTAGCGGTGTTGAACACGAGGCCCTCAGGGCACTGGCACTGCGGCTTGCCCTTCTTCACAACGCACTCAGCAGCTCCACAATCATTCTCACACATGGCTGTTGTGGACACCAAACGAAGCATGCAGAGAAAGACGATGGCTTTTCGGGCATATGGAGGCGATATAAAGAAAAACAAGAAACGAGGTTGGGTGTGGGTGTGGATTATGCCAGAATGAGCAAAGCACATGCTAGCGTGTTTGGCAATGTGTACGTGACGCCCTTCAAAATAAGAAACACAACCCGAGTGTGCATGCATGCACTAACACTTACTGATCTCGCAGCCAACTGATTGAAGCGAAGCGATTTCCTTGACAGTCCTGAGAAGGGAGAGGTAAGGACAGACAATAGCAAAGGTGAGAGCAAGTTATGACATTCACGAATTAGTGTTGTACTATGTGCTCACACACCTCTTTGTGACGGGGTAGGAACTGCCCTTCTTCGTGGGACGTGCGATTGTAAAGTCCAGCTTCTCCCTGCAGTCCCAGTCAGCGTAGAACGACAGGCTCTTGCACATGGCGTTGCCAAGCGCGAGGCTGCCAGGCGTGGCGCGCTTGGTATTCCACACGACGGTGATGTTGGTGTCGCCTTTGAGCACCGTGTGCAGGTTGCTGCACGCGCTGCTGCCGCTCGCCTGCTCTGCCGGCACCTCCGTCAAGAAGGTGGCGTCCCTCTCGCCCGCGAAGGTGTTGCCACTTGCCTGCACTGCCACCGTCGACCGCACCAACGGGGCTGACCAGCCGTTGAGACCGTTGGTTGATCCGACGATGCCAGGTCGTGGCCATTGCAGGTTGCGTGACGATGAAGGCAAGTTGGAGGCAGGGCAGGGGAGAGGAGAGGAAGGGGCCGGGGGAGGGGGGGGGGGGGGGGGGGGGGGGTGGGGAGTGGGGGTGAGGAAGGTGTGGGAGGAGTGAGGAGGGGTGAACATTCCAAGCGTTGCCTCTCAGCGTTGCCTCTCAGCGGCGCCTCCCAGTGCAGCCTGTTCAAACGCTCAAACGCTGAGATGCAAACGTGCGAGTGCCTCAAGAGTGCAGCACTCACCAAAGCACGTCTTGTCAGGCTCGTTGAAGTAAAATTCTTGCTTGTTGCAATCGCACTCGAATAAGGTATGAGTGAGAGTAACGCAGTGAGCCTGTAACCCACACTCCACGCCAACACACGGGTCTGCAGAGGAAGTGATGGGGGGTTACGAGATGAAGCAGGGAAAGCGGGTAAAATGAGTGAAAATGTTTCTTTTGATCGTAAGCTGTGCACTCACCCACACACCAGCACTCACCCACACACCAGCACTCACCCACACACCAGCACTCACCCACACACCAGCACTCACCCACACACCAGCACTCACCCACACACCAGCACTCACCCACACACCAGCACTCACCCACACACCAGCACTCACCCACACACCAGCACTCACCCACACACCAGCACTCACCCACACACCAGCACTCACCCACACACCAGCACTCACCCACACACCAGCACTCACCCACACACCAGCACTCACCCACACACCAGCACTCACCCACACACCAGCACTCACCCACACACCAGCACTCACCCACACACCAGCACTCACCCACACACACGTCTTGTGGTCGACGTCGAATACAAATCCATCCTTGCACTCGCACATGGGCATGCCATTGTCTACAAGAATAGCGCAGGTGGCTTCGCCACAATCCACGAAAGCACACAGGTCTGCACAGAAAATGATATTGTTTCAAGTAAGGGCAACGAGGCACACACACCGGCACAGAAGCAACGTTAAAACAAGGCATTTTCTGCTTTTGACTGTGCGCCGCTCAAGCGCACTCCAGCACTCATCCACACGCCAGCAATACAAGTCTACGGCCACTGGCGTGTGGCAGTCAGCGGGCTCACCACCAGCGGTGCTGGCGAGGATCGCGAGGAATCTGATGGCAACGACGACGAGTGCGGCGAGGCCACACAGGCCGGACAGGCGCGCGCAGGGCTTCATGGCGACAGCGGACGGCTTAGCGATCGCGGCGCGCGGGGAAACGGAAAGGCGGGGAGGCGCGGATCGTGATGACAGCGGACGGAGCGGGGAAATGGGAAGACGTCCTCGACTTTTGAGACGTCTCAAAAGAAGGAGCGGGGAAACGGAAAGCCGTCCTCGGGATGGCGAGAAGTGTCTGGTCGCTGGAAGTTTCTTCACCCTTTTCAGGGTTGAACCGCTGGTACTGACGCCGCTGGTAGTCGCGACGAGGTGAGATTGGTTGCGACTGAGAAGGAGACGAAGGCACGCAATGAGCGAGAGCGGTGGGAAAGTGTGATTGAGGTCTCGGGAGTGGGCGTCATGTATGTATAGCTAGCTGGTCAATTGCATTTATTCGCCCTCGTGACTGTTGACCAATCATCTAGCAGACTCGCGGATCACGTAACGAGTGTGTCGTGAAAGTGGGACGGCGCACGGAGGGAGGCGCAGCAGGCCGCGTAGGGAGACATCAGAAAAATGTGAAACCGGCGGATCCCGCATGGTGGGGGTTCGGCTTGGATTTCTAGGTCGAAGTTCATGTCGTGCACGACAATTAATCGGCTGGTTGGGGCAGCGTGGCGGCGAACAATGGTCGACTGTCGGAGCAGTGTGGTTTACGGGATTGACCTGCAGTTGACGGGGCTGTGGTTGACGAGGCCACCTTTTGGGACTCTCAACAATCGGTGCTCAACACAACTTCGAAAGTTAGGCAGATTTGCAGACGTGGCAGTAAGTGGGTGGTTCTTGCGATTCACAATCAGAAATCGATCACAAACAGAATGGGTGCGTTTTTCCGAAACTGTGCATCGCGATAGAGTTGGAGTTGTGTGATTCTATTTAACAGATGATTTATGTTCATTCCTTTTTCCAGTTAACATATTTTTAAATGTTTAGTGTAATGCTGTTTCAGTGACCGTTCTTTTATACATTTGTTTTTCGTTTGTTACTAGACTGTATTGGGTAGTATATTGTAACGTAAAATGGAATACATTTACGAAATTCATGTCGTATCGATCCTTATAATAAAAGTGTATTGATAGCAATTTCACACCATAACATTTGAATTAATATTTCATAAGTGACTCAAACGAGCATGAATATAGCATTGTAAGATATCCCATAATTAACAAAATCGATTAAGACATTGGAAGGAATTACAATTCCTTACTGTACTCGCACTTTAGCGAGTACATCCCAAGCGTCACGCGACAAACCTGTTGTCAAACTATATTGTGTAGGCTGTAGTGGGGTAGCCCACATGGGGTACAACCCAATTAGGGTTTACTACTTGTACTCCTGCATGCTGCATAGTTCGTTCATTCGTGCTGCTAGATTCTTACACGGTTTCAGAGCACTAGGTCCGTAGGACCGTTTTTTTTTCGGGCCCACCTACCGTTGCGGTTACCACGCTAACCCACGTGTTGCCTGCCTTGCCTTGCCTTGTGACGTGCTGCGCTGCGCGCGCCGTCCTGCAGCCCTAGCGCTGCCTCCTGCTGCCCTAGGCCACCGCGCCGCCCTTGCAGGTCCGTAAGGCCCGCGCGCCGCCCCTGCAGCCTCGTAAGGCCCGCACGACGCCCCTGCAGGCCCGTCAGGCCCGCTAGCCGCCCCGCGCGTCGCACCCGCTGCCCGTGCGTCACGCTGCAGCCCCGCGCGTCGCGTCCGCTGCCCGCGCGTCGCGCTGCAGCCCCGCGCGCCGCGGCTGCCGTCCCCGCGCAGCCCGCTGCGGCTTCGCGCGCCGCGCCCGCAGCTTGCGTAGCGCGCTGCAGCCCTGCGCGTCGCGTCCGCTGCCCGCGCGTCGCGCTGCAGCCCCGCGCGCCGCGGCTACCGTCCCTGCGCGCCGCGGCTGCCCCTGCCTGACTGCCGCTGTCGCCCCTACAGCAGCTGCCGCGGAGCCTCCTACCGCGGTCGCGGTCCCGCCCTGCAGCAGCTGCCGCAAAGCCTTCTACCACCGTCGCCGCCCCGCCCTGCAGCAGCCACCACGGAGCCTTCTGCCGCCGTCGCGGCCCTGCCCTGCAGCAGCCACGGCCCCGCCCTGCAGCAACTGTCGCGGCCCCGCCGTCGCCGCCGTCGTGCGCCTGCCCTTCCCGCCACTGGTGAGCACCTGCCTGCCTGCCTGCCTGCCTGCCTGCCTGCCGCGCCTGCCCTGCCCGCGCTGCTACTATTGCTAGGCTGCTGCTGCTGCTGCTGCTGCTGCTGCTACTCCTGCTACTGCTGCTACTGGCGGTGGCCAGATGCAGCTCCAGCGACGTTCACGCGAGTCTCTCACGCCCCAACAACTTCGTGAGTGGTACGCTAGTTGAGGTTGTGGCGGTAGCCGTCGTAGCTGTCGCCCTGGAGCTGGTCAGTTGGGAGCGTCTGGCAGTGGCCAGCTGCAGCTGCAGCGGCGTCCACGCGAGACACTTACGTCCCAGCAGCTTCACGAGTGGTACGCTCAGAGTAGAGGGTCGTGGAGTATCGTTCGATGCCCGTACGTCATTCGCACAGGTGATCGGGCTGGTTAGACTTGCGGGACGCTTGGTCACACACCGTCCCGCTGCTTCGCCTGTCTGAGCGACGCCTGGCGTACCGAGTTTGGCGACGAGGCTGAGCTCCCCACCTGGCTGGAGCTGCTTACGCAGGGGGTAGATATCTTTGCTCTTGACTATGATGCTATTCTCACTGCCATGTATGCATTGCCTACTAGTACTGACGGTGCCTGTTACCTGTGCGTACCGCCTGACCCAGGTATAGACCCTGCTGCTCTAGGTGCTGGTGAGGCATCTGCTCTAGGTGCTCGTGCGTCTTCTGCTCTAGGTGCTGGTGAGGCTGCTGCTCTAGGTGCTAGTGCGTCTCCTGCTCTAGGTGCTGGTGAGGCTGCTGCTTCAGGTGTTGGTGAGTCTGCTCTCTCTGGTACTGTGCCTGCTGCGGTCTTGCACACCTTCACCCTTGACTCAGGAGCTTCCCGCTCCTTCTTTCGCGACTGCACCACACTCACGCCGCTTAGTCGGCCAGTTGCAGTCTCCCTGGCGGACCCCTCTGGGGGTCCAGTCCTTGCCCACTACTCCACGGTTCTGCCGTGTCCGGCCGCCCCGTCTGGCTCGCTGTCAGATCTCTAACTCCCCTCGTTCTCTACGAACTTGGTGAGTGGAGCTGACCTCCAGGATGGCGGGGTTGACCAGTTCACTCCTGCGAGTCAGCAAGTGACTCACTGTACGTGTGCTCGGACGGGCCGACACTTGGCCACGTTTACCCGTGCGCCTGGCTCGAGTCTGTACACACTGACCACTGAGTCCCCTCAGGTAGCTGCGTCTGCGTCTGCGTCAGGTCAGCTAGCGGCCCCCTGCTCGTGTCGCGCTTTGTCGCACCAGACCCTCCTTTGGCACCACCGCCTTGGTCACCCCTCGGTGCAGCGCCTTCGTAGCATGCACCGCCGTGTCCTTCCCAGGGTTCTCCCTCCCCTCCCACCCTCGCCTGCTCCTCCTTGTCTTCCCTGTGTCGAGGGGTGGCAGCGCGCCGCTCCTCACTCCTCCTCGTTCCCTCCCACAGAGGCTCCCCTGCAGACTCTCCACCTGGACGTGTGGGGCCCAGCCTGCGTCCGTGGACAGGGCCACGAGCGGTACTTCCTGCTGGTCGTCGACGACTACACGCGTTACACCACGGTCTTCCCCTTGCAGCGCAAGGGGGAGGTCCCTGATGTTTTGATCCCTTGGATCCGCGCTGCCCGTCTCCAGCTCCGCGAGCGGTTCGGGACGGAGTTTCCCGTCCTGCGTCTGCACTCTGACAAAGGTGGTGAGTTCTCCTCCGACCTCTTGGCAGCCTGTGGAGCACGGCATCCGCCAAACGTTCACGCTTCCGGCCTCTCCGCAGCAGAATGGGGTTGCTGAGCGCCGCATTGGCTTAGTCATGGAGGTCGCTCGTACCTCCATGATCCATGCGGCTGCCCCCCATTTTCTGTGGCCGTTTGCGGTCAGGTACGCCGCGCATCAGCTCAACCTCTGGCCCCGTGTCTCCTTGCCGGAGACCTCGCCCACACTGCTGTGGACGAGGAAGGTTGGCGATGCGTCCCGTTTCCGGGTCTGGGGTGCTCGTGCCTTTGTCCGCGATACCACCGCGGACAAGCTCTCCGCCCGCGCTGTTCCATGTGTCTTCCTTGGCTTTGTCCCTGACGCGCCTGGTTGGCAGTTTTACCACCCCACCTCGCGCCGTGTCTTCCCCTCTCAGGACGTCACGTTCGACGAGTCGGTTCCCTTTTACCGTCTCTTCCCCTACCGCACTGCCCCTCTCCCCCCCCCGCCGCTCTTCCTCGCTCCAGGTGCTCCCCAGGTAGACCCCCTCCCCGCTCCCGGTCCTGCTCCTTCAGGTGTGTCTCAGGTTGACCCTCCTCCCTTGACTGCGCCGGTTGAGGTCACTGGTGACTCAGGTCCTGCTGAGGGTGGTCCTGCTCGGGGTGCTACTTCTGGGGGTGCTGAGCCTGGGGGTGCTGAGCCTGGGGGTGCGGAGCCTGGGGGTGCTGAGTCTGGGGGTGCGGAGCCTGAGGGTGCGGAGCCTGGAGGTGCTGAGCCTGAGTGTGAGGGGTTTGGAGGGGCTGAGCTTGGGGGTACTGAGTCTAGGGGTGCTGCACCTTGGGGCGCTGAGGCGTCTGGTGAGCAGTCTCCCTGGAGCGGCCGTCTCCGTAGTCGCTCCGCTGGTGTCTCGCCGCTGCACTCTCGTCGTCTACTCCCTCTCTCCCCACAGCAGCTGCGTGAGTGGTACGTTGGCCGTCAGGGTCGCGCTGCTGGAGCTGGGGGCCCTGCTGCTGGAGGT